ATAGACAAGCACATTTCTACATTTTCTCTCTCCTCAACCACTAAAGAAATCAGATTCTTTCCACCAAGAGCCCAAAACTGAAATTTGAAATTCACCCCTGAGGTTACAGGATGATCTCATAGATGCTATCATCAATTACCAAGCAGGTGCCTCCAGACAAAACTCTTACATGCCTCCACTTTGGATTTTCCAGAGTTTCCAGTTTAAGCCTGCCCCCTCCTGTTATTTTTATTATATATATATATATATATATATATATATATATATATATAATATTTTATTATATATATAATAATATTTTATTATATATATAATAATATTTTATTATATATATATATAATATATATATATATATATATATATATTGGTCCTGGGAATTGAACCCAGATGCACTTGACCACTGAGCCACATCCCCAGCCCTTTTTTTATATTTTATTTAGAGACAGGATCTCACTGAGTTGCTTAGGTCCTCGCTAAATTGCTGAGACTGGCTTTGAACTCCCAATCCTCCTGCCTCAGCCTCCCAAACTGCTGGGATTACAGGCGTGCACCACAGCACCCCGCTCCTCCTGTTATTTTTAGATTTGATTTTACTCCTTATAAAAGGCCAGAAGTGGTGAGTTTGGGTAAGGACAGAAGAAAAAAAATGTTTTTAATTAAAAGCAGATGACAAAGACAGCTCAGTCGTGGAAAATTATGGGAGCCAAGCCATCTCTGGCTCCCATCGGAGCGTTTCCTCCATCAGCAGAACAGCAATGCCGACCAAGGCTCCCCTGCCTTTTCTAGAAGACATGTACCATCCAGGACATCTCCTGGATCCACTAGAAAATTGCAATGTGCTACTCTTGCCTCACCATTCACCCTCACAGAACAATAGTAGTTCAGAGCTGGAGGGAGCGTCCATAACTGTCTTCACATGAGCAGGGAGATGCCCAGGGCCAGGGGAAGTCAAAAGGACAGCAGAGATGGTTCAGCCTAGTGAAGTCTCTCTAGTCCCACCTTCCAAATGCTGAGCCTGTCTGCTGAATCCAGTTTCTCAGCTGCCTTAATGTTCAAATAAGCTGAGAGCTCTTCAGGCGAGCGACCTTTGCCTGGTATGTTCTGTCCCTCAATTCCTCAGGAATGAGGAGGTGGGGCATATACCAATAAACACCCATGTTAACACTGGGCTTCACTCGTTCTTCCATACAGTCTTAATGCCTTTTACCTCCTTCCCAGCCACTTTGTGTTTGTTTTTCTTTCTCTCAACCACATTTAGCCTTAAGCATACTCTGAGCTTGGACAGTTTGTTTGCTTGCCTGTTTGTTAACTCAAAGACAGTCTGATTCTCGATTTTCTTACAAGATTGCACTTAGATTCAGTCTTCAAAGTCACATTATTAAATGTTTATAATTCACGTGTTCCTCAATCATATAACAACTCCAAGGCCCTGGTCTCTGCTCCCGGGGAACTTGTACTGTGAATGGAATGTGGCCCTCACTGTGGTGATAGCAGGGAACTCCACGTTGTACTCTCAAACTCTTCTTTGTTCTCGCTAATATAAGAAGAAGGCCTCATGAGGCAGGAGTTGATTAGAGATGATTTACTAGCCTAAGCCAGAAAACTCCTGAGGACTTCAACTCCTGTCATTTGGTGGACAGAAAAAGCATACATTCTGGAAGCTTTGTCCCACTAACTAGGAAAATTAGAACTCCCTGATTACAAAAGAGAAAACCAACCTGAACTAGCATGACCAAAGGAGGCTTACTGGAAGGCTCGCCTGCCTGTCTGGGAAGAACAGGGCTGCTGCTGACATCGGCTGGGCAGGACCAAGCAGACACTCAGTACTTCTTCTCTCTCTCCCTCTCTCTTTCTCCCCCTCCCCCTTCTCCTCCTCCTTTCCTTCTCTTTCTCCTTCTTCTTCTCCCCCCTGCATTTCTGTACCTCTCTGTGACTGGCTTTATCTTCTCCAGACAGGTTTTTGTCTATTTAGTGAACTAGAGTTTATCTTCATTCCCCAACTTAATCATAAGAGAAGGATTAGCTCTCTCTACCCGATTCCAGGTACAAATCCCCCAAGCAGTGATTCAGTTGGCCTCATGAAAGTCAAGTACCTACTCCTGGGTGTTGAGGGGCAATCACTGAGGCCCTTAAAGTCACCCTAATTCACATGGATACATGGGACAATGGGCGAGTGCCTTAACTTCTCTGAGTCGTGAAAAAGAAAAATGAAAAAGCTAGTGGGAAGGGCAAAAATAATACCTTCTTCAAAGAGCTGTTGGTCATTTTACATAGACAACCAATGCCAAAGGCTGGTATAGTGTCTGCTCTATATGAAGCATCAATAAATGTTCATTTTTCTTCCAAGGTGAGTCTTAAAGTCAAAGAAGAAGTCAGCATGTTAAAATGGAGAGGAAAATTACTTGAAGAGCAGGGAATCGGATGGGAAATGCTATACAATTCAGAGTAAGAGGCACTACAGGAGTTGTTAAAAAGAGGGTAATTGAGCCTTAAATCATTCCCACCCCTAAATCACGCACAAGATCTGTGTTCTAGAAAAAGGGGGGGCTAGCATCAGCTATTGGGAACCTGGAATGTCAAGTTGACCAGTTAATCTGCAGCTTGTGAGACATTCTTTGCTATCGAGGGGAAGATTATTTCAGTCAAATAACATTTTAGGGCCAATATAAAAAGAATTGTAAAAGATTCGAGGTTTGATGAAGCCTGAGAAGCCAAAGCTGCATTTGCTCCTATTCCCTTTATAACGTTTTGGAGTCAGGCCAATGAACATCCCCAGCTGTGCAGCTGGATAACTTGAATTTACTACAACTTCTGCAAAAATGTTCCCTATGTTGTCTTCCCTCATACATTTCATCCTTGAGTTTTATGAGAGGAAAAATAGACTTCATATTATATATTTCTAGGTAAGATTACTATACCCGTGGAGCACAAAACCCAAGATGGTAAAATTTCCAGTTTCCCCAAAGCTTTAAGAGTTTAGGGCATCTAAGACTTGGTGTTTTTACCAATTGCGTCAATTTGACTCATACCAACATCTGTTCTTGATAAAATAATATGAAATGTAATCTCTTAATGGTGGCCCAGAATCAAATTCTACCCTCTCTCCTTGTTCCTTGTCCTTTTCTTTGGTATTCCCTACAGCATCTGGCCCTCCGGTTTTTAAATGACCATAACATCTAACAATGCGCTACAATTCACCTGTTCGAGAAACCAGCTTTTCATTTTCTTAAACACGCGTGGGATGACAAGCATCACACTCTCTGTCACCCATGGTGTGCGGAATCTTATACAGTTGAGCTCACAACTTATCAGGTTCAATCTGTCCCTGGAACTTTGACTCAGCCCGGACCCTGGCTCCAAAACCTCCCTGCTCCATGAAGCTCCAATTCCAGCACACAGTCATTTTCTCCTCTTTTTCTTATAGCATTGGTACTTTGATCTTCCTCAAAGCCTGCCTAGTGCTGCAATTTAATTTTACATGTATATGTCTGTATATTTGTTCGGCAGCACCCAATACAACGCCTTGCACCATGCACCGTGGAAGCTCCATAAATGCATGCATGGGTGAGGAGTGTGTTTAATGTCCTTCCACCCAGGCTGGCATTTCAGTCTCTGGGCACTAAGGTCTGTGGCAAGCTTGTGTCTAAAAACAGCAGATTGTGACTCAACCCTGTCAGTTACTTTTACATCAAATTGTCTGATGGACTGGAGACGCTAAGCATCACTTGAGGACATAGAATGAAACAGGGTGCCACCACAGGATGTATTTAGCTGTGGCCCGCCTTAAGGTGGGGACAGAGACAGAAGATGGTCCAGACCCTGGTCCAAGAACTGAATGGTCTGCCTTGTGTCCATGATCAATCACAAAATAAACAAACAAGCCAGGCACAGTAGCACTGGCCTGTAATCCCAGCAGCTGGGGAGGCTGAGTCTGGAGGATCCAGAGTTCAAAGCCAGCCTCAGCAATTTAGCAAGGCCCTAAAGCAACTTACTAAGATCCTGTCTCTAAATAAAATATTAAAAAGGGCTGGGGATGTTGCTCCATGATTAAGTGCCCCTGGGTTCAATCCCAGGTACCAAAAAAACAAAAAACAGCTTCTACCTTCTGAAGCAAGTCATATCAACTCCCCCGCCCAACCCCAAACCCCAGTACTGGGGATTGAAAACAAGGTCACTCTACATCCCCAACCCTTTTTATTTTGAGACAGGCATAGGGTCTTGTTATGTTGCCCAGGATGACCTCAACCTTGTAATCCTCCCACCTCAGCCTCCCAACTTGCTGTGATTACAGTCCTAAGCCACTGCACCTGGCTAGGTCATTTTATCTTTCTCATCCCAAGAAAATTCATATACATTTACCAATATACATACAGGTTCCTACCTCTTCATCAGCAGAACAAACTCCTGAAGGACTCAGAAGCATCCATTTGAAGTTCTAACTAACAGGGCCATAGTCAACCTGGCACAAAAAGAGAAACCTGCCACTCTCGATCCTGAGGGCCACAGTGGGCAGGGCATCAAGATCAGAAGAGGTGCCGGGTGGGTGGTGCACTCCTGTAATCCCAACAGCTCTAGGGGCTGGGGCAGGAGGATCTCCAGTACAAAGATCTCAAGGAGGATCTTCAGCAAAAGCAAGGCACCAAACAGCTCAGTGAGACTCTGTCTCTAAATAAAATACAAAATAGGACTGAGGATGTGGCTCAGTGGTCAAGTGCACCTGAGTTCAATCCCTGGTACCTGTCCCCAGTAAAAAAAAAAACAGGTGACCCTTAGAATTGGGTACCAGCTCTCCCCTCTCCATTGGCACACTGGACACCCCAGCATCCCTACACCAGAAACCAGCATGACTGAATGAAAGGGAAAAGAGAAACTTTCAAAGATTAAGTATTGACCAATAAGAGCCTGCACCAACTGTTTTAAACCAGAAAATACTGAGGTATCTGTCTTTAGCTTTCAAATTTAAATTCTTCCCCAGTTCCCAGATTATCTATTGGATGGAGCTCAGTGGTTATGTTAATAAATTGAGGTCAGTTATATTGTATAAAAGAGAAATCTCTACAATATTGATTTGTTAAATAAAAATTACCAGAGGCCACTGTTTTGAACTGAGCTGTATACTAGGCTAAAAATCAGACTAGACTAAAAATCAGAAGGGAGCCACTCAGGCTGAGGTTCCACCTCATCAAACCTAAACTTAGTTGTTACCTGGCCCTCTGAGAAATCAGGAGACAGATAAAAGCTAAATTTTACAAACAGACCAGTTTTTATTTGCACGTCAGTAAAAATTCCCTCCAGTAAAAATTCCCTCCGTTGTAATCCTTTCCAAAAAAGTAACCTGAACTAACCCAATATTAACCAGTTACTCTTCTATTGTTCTCTCTCCCTATCCCAATGTTACAAGGAAAATAACTTTGAAATGACCGATTTAATTTTTAGTTTTATTTTATTTAAACTTTCGTTTATTTTATGTGGTGCTAAGGATCAAGCCCAGGGCCTCACACATGCTAGGCAAGCACTCTACCGCTGAGCCACAACCTCAGCACCTCCAATATACTTTTTGTTCTGAATTTCTGCTTTGTTCAACCCAGCTCATCTCATCTTGCTTTGAGGAATGAAGTGTTGGTAAATACTAGAATACTGAATAAAGCCAATTAAGATGTTTAAACTTTCACATTATTTACTAGAAGAGCCAGTACTAATGTCTAAGGCTGAGTTTGGGAAAGAAAGAGGAAAAAGTCGAGCACTTTTTTTTTTTGAACCCAGGGCCTTGTGCATTGGGGAAAGCACTCTACCAACCGAGCTATATCTCCAGCCCAGGTTTTTAAATTTTTCTTTACTAATTATATTATTTTGCTGTTGTTGTTTGTAGTTACCAGGTAAACCACTAGTGACTCCAAAACTCTAAACCCAAATATTTGTTATTCTAACATAAGCTTGTGGGTCTGATTTTTCACTGTTTCTTACATCATTTGGGATTGAGCCCAGGCATGCTATACAACTGAGCTACATCCCCAGCCCTTTATTTTTTTATTTTGAAACAGGGTCTCATAGCTGGACTTGGTAGCACATGCCTGAATTCCAGTGGTTCAGGAGGCTGAGGCAGGAGGATTGCAAGCTCAAAACAAGCCTCAAAAAATTTAGTGAGGCCCTAGGGAATTTAGGAAGAGTCTGTCTCAAAATAAAATAAAAAGGGCTGGGGATGTAGCTCAGTGGTTATGAGATAGCAAAACCAGACCTGGTTGTAAAATGAAATCACAAGAATGTTATCATGAGAAAGAAAGCCTGGGAAAGGGTCAGAGTTCCCTCCACCACCACCACCACCCTTCTGTCAGCCTTTCTTCAGGAAACCTAATTAACCATAGGTCCCTACCATTTGGATTGTAAATAACTGTCTCTAGGAATCTGACTACTCTCTTTTGAAACGTAAACACCCCTGGACCAGGCTTCAGACACAAGGCCAAAGATTTATTTATGCCTGTGCAAAGAGCCAGTTCCTCTTATCGCTTTTTTGCTTCTGTAAACACACTTCCCACTAGAAACCCCACACAAGGCCTCCTGTCATGTAGACTAGAAATTTTATGGCACAAAATTGCCTATAAATGTTATGAGAAACTATGGGCCAGCGCTCAGAATTTAGAGTTTGTTCCCCTCTGTGCCGGCTGGAGTAAAATGAAGCATGAGTTCTCAGTCTTTCCGAGTGCCACTTGTTGCTGCTTGTCTAGCTGGCTTCCTGCAACGGTGACCGTCCTGGGTTCAATCCCTGCTACCAAAAACAAACAAACAAAAAAAAACATGGTCTTACAAAATTGCTTAGACTGTCCTCAAACTTTCAGTACCCCCTGCCTCAGCCTCCCAAGCAGCTGAGATTATAGACATGTGCCACCATGCCCTGCTCACTTGGCATTATCAGACAATGCTTCCAAATGTCACTGAGGATGAGAACCAAGAGATGACCCTTGACAAAACCAAGTTCTGGCTCCTCCCCGGGAGAGACTTATTCAATAGATGAGGGTGGGACCCAGGAATCTTCGTTTTTTCAACAGATGTGGGAGGTTGGGAGGGGCAAAGCTAGGAAACACATCCTTTAAGGCAGTGGTTCTCAATGTGTGGTCCCGGAACCAGCAGCTTGGACAACACCAGGGAATTTTTTTACAAATGCAGATTCTCAGGTTCCATCCACCCTAGAAGTGCTGAATCAAAAACTGGTGGCTGGGGCCCAGTGGTATGGGTTTTAACAAGCCTTATAGGTGATTCTGTTGCACATTTAAGTCTGTGGACCAGCGTCTTCAGGAAATGATAAGCAGGCAGTGAACAAAATTTCTTAGCATACCTAAATGCCACTCACCAATCCACAGCCACCCACAAGAACCTACCCAGAGCCAGGGGCAGTGGCCCATGACTATAATTCCAGCAGCTGTGGAGGCTGAGGCTGGAGGATCGCGAGTTCAAAGCCAGTCTCAGCAATGGCGAGGCACCAAGCAACTCCGTGAGACCCTGTGTCTAACTAAAATACAAAAAAAAAGGTGGAGGGAGGGGTGCTGGGGATATGGCTCAGTGGTCTAGTGCCTCTGAGTTCAATCCCCAGCACCAAAAAAAAAAAAAAAAGAACCTACCAAGCATCACTGTGCCCCATACTGATAGCTGGGGCAGAGATTCTCAGGCTTTGCTGCAGAGTTACCTGGGGAGCTTGTAAATTTCCAGCCACCCAGGTAGCTTTGAGGGTGGAGCCACGCATCAGCATTTGTTTAAGACAATCAGGTGACTCCAAGGTATGGAGGCATGTGAGAACCACTATCTCAGCACCTAAATCCCAGAGACCAGACCCGCCAGAAAAGGTACAGGCTGGCAGGGAGCTTTCTCATTTATCCAGGGTTAAAAGAAATGTCTAGGAGCAAGGACGTGCAGGGATGTTTTCTAGAAGTCACTGGAGAGTTTGGAACACGCTCACCCTCTTGAGGGTTCCCCAAGACTCAAGAAGTGGATCAATCAGAGCGGGAAGGATAGACATTCTCCCCTTCTCCTCTTGACCCTTTCTGAACCCACTTGAGCACTATTAGCACTTTAATTAACATCTGCCTCCCTGAAGGGGTCTGGCATACAGTGACTGAGAGCAGAACTGAGTCCCAGCGCTCAGGGTGCAGAGTGACAGGAAAATGGGGGTAAGGAAGTGGGGAGGGGTAGGAGACTAGGAGGAAGAAGGGGAGGAGGGGGAGAGCTAACCTGAAGAGGTTCCCATATGCCAACCTAGGGCTTCAGTCATGTTCTTGTTTAACAAGACTCCACTTTGCAGTGAGCCATCTGAGGCCAGGGTAGGTCAACTGGCCCCAGGTCACATCTATAAGCGACAAAAACATTCACCAGTTCAAATTTCAGGGCTCTGGATGGATGCCAGAGGGCAGGAAAGAGACTCTGAGAGGTGAGACTGAGGGAAGCTTGGGGCCCACTGAACGAGATCCACAGAGGGTGAGACAGCTCAAAATCGATCCTTACCATCTGGATTAATCCAGGTGCCATATTCTGGATTTGGATCATGGGAAAGGAATGGGGGTTCCTCTGGTGATCAGAGCAGGAGTGAAGGAGAGTGCACAATAAGGGGTCAGGGCAGGAGCCATGTACCAATATACTGGGTGGATTTCCACATTTCAAACAGCTGTGCCACAGCATCTGTGTGTAGCAACAAAATACCAGCCCTGTTTTGACCTGGTGCGGATGGAGAGCGTAAGGATTTTTGTGGTTTAGGAGATTTCAAAATTTTAAAAGCCCTTTGTCTTCTTCCTTAACTCATCCTTAATGAGGTCCCAGATGTCTCCACTGGGCCACAAGCACAGCATATCTAACTGCATTCCTGAAGACACAGTCCCTTCCCCCCCACCCCCTCCCCCAGAAGGTCCATCCTGGGGCTCTGTGTGGAAGCTGGAGTAAAGGATTGTCACATGGGAAGAACCTGAGTGTGGAGGGTAGGGGAGAGGATTCCTAAGACATTGCACACATTTATCTCAAATTTCCCGTTTGAGCTGAGGAAAACACACTCAGGGGCACGTCATTGCTAGGCAAGAAAATCTTTGTTTCAGTAACTGAGAGCAAAGGTCACCAAGCCTGGAGAGAGTTGACCTGAGGTAAGGATGGGACAAACTGAAGAGTCTGAGGAGAAAACAGCAAAAACAAATTGTGAGTTTCCCGCTTGAGTGATGTAAGTCAAAGGGTGGGATAAAAAGTGATAAGGGGAAATATGGACTGATGTAGTGTGTCATGCAAGACTATGGCAATTGTTGAGATTTAAGGAAAGCAGAGAGCAAGAAAACAGCATCCAATGACAGCACTCGTGTCTGTCAGTAGCTACAGGGTAACAATGAAAATTCAACTGTTCAGATGTAAAATTCACCCAAAAGTGAAAGATCAGCACTGTCAAGATCAAAATTATTGATACAACGTTTTTTAGTAATGACAGCCCAAGTCCATGAAATGCTCAAAGATCCTTTGTAAAGCGGTGGAATGAAATTCTCTCACCTTCTACTGCAGGAAAATGTCCGAGGATATTGCCTCAACTTAGGACAGGTCCCATAAATAACTGCTTCTTTCTTTTTACTTTTTTTTTTTTAAGCTAAGAAAAGCTTTCTTTCTCTTGAGGAAACAATATTTTTTTTCATTCCTGAGCATGAGAGTCCATCTCTCTTTCTCTATCTCCCTTTTCAATTTTTAAAGCTGTTAGGAATCTCAGGGAGGAAAAAATCCATCTTTCAAAGAGTGTTCTAATAATTTCAGAATCGTTTTAGCTTTTTTTCAGACACAACTAGATCACATTGTCATTTATTTACTCTGTGTGTGTGTGTGTGTGTATGTGTGCACATGCTAGAGACTGAACCCAGGGCCTTGCACATGCTGGGCAAGGGCTCTGTCACAGAGCTACACCCCCAAGCCCTGGCCATTTTCTTAGCTGCCTGAAGATAATACTCGTTTGACAAGCTAAACAGGCAGTTTCTTGGCAGGAATGCTTTTCAGCTACTACCCTCCCTTCCTGAGGATGTACTTAAATATGGATGATATAAACCAGAAATCCACGTAACTGGACACACATGTACTACAAGATGCCTCAGCCTGCAGAAAGCAACCAAACTAGCTAGGTGGCTCTGTGGGCCTCAGTGGTGTGTGGAAGGTCTGCCCTGTGTGCCTCAGGGCCCTGTGCTTCTGTAAATGTCATAGGCCAGCAGCGTGGAATGCATGACAACCCATATGCTAAATATTACTAAATCCTGATGCCTCTCACTTTAGGAGGAAAAATGACTCTAACTAAACATAACTAAAGTTCTAGTGTAAACACTCATTTTCTTCCCATGCAACTGATTTCACATGCATACACTACTTCTGAATACATCTCTCTGTGCCTCTATCCATTTTTACATTTTTCTAGTGTTGATTTACATATTTTCCCTACTCTCATTTTTCCTCCCTGTGGACTGGGGATTGAATCCAGGACTGCTTTGCCACTGAGCTACATCCCCAGTTCTTCTTATTTTATTTGAGACAGGGTCTTGCTAAGTTGCTGAAGCTGGCCTCCAATTTATGATTCTCCTGCCTCAGCCTCCCAAATTGCTGGGCTTACAGGAATGCACCATGGGATCCTGCACTTTTTATTTTTATTTATGCTAACCATTACTTTTTGCCTGGGTTCTTAATAAACCCTTTGTGGTACAAGAGTACACATTTCAACATGCTGCAAACAGAATGGATACAAGAAACTTTCTTTTCTATGGCCATCTTGGTTTTTGTTGTTTTTTGGTACCAAGGATTTTGTTTTTGATATCAGGGGTGCTTAACTATTGAACCACATCCCCAGCCCTTTTTTATTTTTATTTTTTAGGGGGGTATTGGGGATTGAACTCAGGGGCACTCAACCCCTGAACCACATCCCTAGCCCTTTTATGTATTATATTTAGAGACACATCTCACTGAGTTGCTTAGCACCTTGCTTCTACTGAGGCTGGCTTTGAACTTGCAATCCTCCTGCCTCAGCCTCCTGAGTTGCTAGGATTACAGGCATGCACCACTACACCCAGCTCAATGGCCATCTTGTTATCTTAGTTAAGACATATATTTAGGAATCTATAGACCTGGGGTCCTTCCAGGCACCTATCTCTCCAAACATTTCAAGATCACGTTCAAAGGAATAAATGTGAACGAGCATTCATTGTCAACAGAAACTGAAATAGTAAGTCTTTAACAAGACTTTAAGTATCTACCAAATCAAGATTACGATGAGTAACAGAGGCGCTGCGGTTGTAGTTCAGTGGCAGAGCGCTTGCCTTACACATGTGAGGTACTGGGTTCGATCCTCAGCACCACATAAAAATAAGCAAACAAAATAATAAAGATAAAAAAAGAAAGAAAACTTAAAAAAAAATGATGGGTAACAGAAACCGGGCACCATGGTACTTTCCAGTTGTCCCAGCTACCTGGATACCCAGGCAGGAGAATTGCTTGAGTTCAGGAGTTCAAGGCCAGCCTAAGCAACATAGTGAGATCCCCATCTCAAAAGGAAAAAGAAAGAAAAAGAAAGAGACTAATCAGAATTAGGTTTGGTGACAGAAATTCTCAGAACAGTAACTTTAACTCACCAAGTTTAATTTTTACAGGGGGAAAAAAAAGTCCAGAAGAAAATTCTTTTTATTCTGAAAGTTCCATGAAAATACCTGGATGCAGGTACCTTCCAATCTCTCCTCCTCAGATGTGATCCTAAAACAGCATCCAGAGTTATTACCACCATAAAATTTTCCAGGCTGCCAACAAGAGGAGGAAAGGGAAGGGATGGTATCCTAAAGAAATGTTCCACACCACTTCTTCTACATCTCACTGACAAGAATACAGTTTCCCCACATAAGCATGGGCAGAAATACAAACACCAAAAATCAGGGAGAATGGTTACTGGGAGAACAGCAGGCAGAATCTGCCACATTGCTTTACAAATTGAGATTTTCATTAGCAAAGTACAGAATCCAATATTAGACATGCATTTGGTAGATTCTAATTCTAGACCATCGATCAAGTTTAAAGTTTTTACTGACTCATTTTTTGGGGGGATGGGATTAGTTTTAAAGACCCATTATCTCTCATCACCTGGGGGTATTTAAATTAAGTATTATATGGGGTATACATTGTATATTACAGAAGCCCTAAAAAATACCTCTGTGAATACACAGTTAATTTTAGCCACGTGTTTGGACATACTGAACGAAGAACTTTTTCTGTCTAATGGAAACCTGGCAAGGCTTTATACAATAAATATCTTCCTCAATAAGTACATCAGCTTTTGCAAACCTGATCCTCCTTCAAATGCTTGTGGGAAGCTATTTAATGAAACCCACAGTGAATTTTGGAGGGAAGACTTCCACCTTATAATGTGAATAATCACACTCTATACATCTGGATCAGAATTTGAAAGGTTCATTTATCAGATTGTCCTAAAATCAACTTGCAGGTGATCTTAGTAGACTCAAAGAAAACTTCTAAAACAAACTCAAAATGCAAATCTCATAATGGGTCATTATTTCCCTTTTGAAATCTCATCTCATCCACTGCTATAAAGATCCCACTAGAGAGAAGGTCAGTGGGTTTTGCAACTTTTCCACAGAACTAACCTCCAGAGCTGGAGATGTGGGCAGATGCTGAGCGACAGGCTTCCTTCTGTTGCTGAACATGTGTCAGGGAGAGCATTCATTGTGCAATGACACACATTTCTTTCAATGCCAAATGCTCAAAGTCTAAAAATACTGGGCCACTCAGAATAAGATAGGCAATGGTCCTATCATGAGCTCACGCTACATCAGTGACTTCATCCTCCAATCAGGAGGCCTGTGAAGTTTGTGGCTAGCCAACAGGAAACCTAAAGAGGCAGTTTCTCCCCTCCTCGGCCTCATCCTCACCAAACCTGGAGTGCTTACTCACTCAAGTTGACAGGAAACATTCAGGAATCTAGATCGATCGTTCCACTGAGCTGAAGAGGAATAGGGTTGGGGACACTGGTGGCATTTCTCTGTGCACTTTTTGAGTAATGGAATTGCCCAAGGGAGAGGTGCAGTTTCCAGAGCACTGATACCCTGGTGAGCACGTTTGCCCACCCCACCGCCATTACCTCCAAGTCATACGAAGGGAGGAAACTTCTACCTCTGGTTTCTATTTCTTCCCCCTCTAAATTTTAAGGGAAAAGAAGAAAATTATAAAATCAGGAGCCTGCATGTCCCCTGAGACATTTACATTTAAGCTGGACCAAGCACTACCCACATATCACAGGCAACAATTTCACCCTGGCAGGGAAATGGACTAAGTGACTTAATGGATATTTTCCATCTCTAATTTCCATGATTAAAAGAAAGAGGTTGAGAGGGGTACATGTGGAGCCTATTGTGAGTTTGCCAATGAATCCTAATTTAGATCAAAGAGAGTCTATGTGACACTGAACCATAAACACCCTAGTGTGCGTTACTTCAAGGAAGTTGTTAGTGTGTTCCCGATGGCTATTATGCGATATAGTTGCGCTCTCCAGCCTGCACCCTTTAATTACTAATATAGAAGAAAATCCCATATAAGAGGGAGGAATGTAAATGAGACCTCTGCTCTTTTGAACCTTTTATGCATTTGCCAAATTAAAATTTGCTGTGGACTTTGGTTTTCCCTGATGGCTGTTGGTAGTGATCATTTGGCTCATGGGATTAAATCTGACTTTCCAAAAACTATTTCTGATCAGTGTGCAGATTTCAGACCTTTATGTATGCTTTGCACTGAGACATGGATCATCAGAACCAGATTGGGAACAACTTTGAAGTTTTCAAAGGTATGGAAGACGGAAGAAATTCTCTTTCATTCTCATCTTTCCTTCTGCCAATTGTTGTTCGAGGGCAGGTTGAGGGGCTGCAACTGAGAGAGGGGCTGGTGGAGTCCAGAGGCACAATATCACACCACACTCATGCACCACTTGCAACATGTACATGTGGTTCCTGGGCAGAAGACCTCACCTTAGGGACATGGATCCAAATCCCTAGGCAGGACCATACTCACTTAAATGGGGATTGCTCCGACTGAGCTTTAAAGCATGATTTCAAGATGAGGACAACCATAAATGTTATCTTAAACAGCATGATTTTAATGAAACTCTCTTCTCTAGAATTCTTCTGCCCTCCACCCACATGCAGGAGAGAGAAGAAGAAGAAGAAAAAAAAGAATTGATAACAGCTTTGCCCTTAACTTAAGAGCTAAATATAGAACCAAGCCCTGTACAAAGGCAAAGATGCCTATTAGACTGACGACTACTGAAGGTAATAACCATTGGGTGAGATTTGCCATGCCTAATACCACATCTTGTTCAATAAAGCAAACTCCTTCTTTGCCATCTGTCTCATACTATGAAGAGATAATAATAATAAAATCATTGGTTAATGAGTAAACTAAGTAGAGGATAATTCCCTGGTAGATCATATTGATGTTCTTCTCCAAAGGATGCCATACTCTCAATGAGGCAGAGAACACAGGGGAGAGCGCGTGACCAAGCACAAACACGGATGCCTAGAATCAAAAACCAGTGCAGCATATGTCAGTATTTAAAGCCCCATCAAAGAAACATCCAACTTTTCAGCTGTAACCCAAATATAAATTTTCCTTACCCTGTCAATTAGCAGATTACAAAACTTCTGTAGCAGGAAGACCATTCTGCCAGCAAAGCCGTGGTGTTTGGAATGGGTCCAGGTCAGACAGATGGCGTGGAAAAGGGGTGCAATGAGACATTAACTATCGGCAAAGCCAACTGCTCTTCCATGCAGCAAATGTAACCTTTGAAGGGCCAAAGCCACAAGGTGAAGAGCATCGCCCACACAGCTGGAGGAGCATATAGATGTCTAGACGCTCCAAGGTAAACACCACAAGCAAGTCATGTGGCTCAGGGAAGCACTTGAAGGAAAATATGCACAACATTAGATAATTGTCATTTGGCACCCTACCCACCCACCTTAAACCAATGAGCAGAAAAACCTCCAAGTATGATATGACTATTTAAATTAAGATAATAAATTAAGATAATAGAGGGGTTGGGTTTGTGGCTCAACGGTAGAGCACTCATATAGCATGTGCGAGGCCCTAGATTTAATCCTCAGCACCACATAAAAATAAATAAATAAAATAAAGGTATTGAGTCCAACTACAACTAAAAAATAATTAAAAAAAAAAAAGATAATAACGGTTTCTTGTGCTCTTTGGAGTGCTGACTATACTACACACAGTCAAATGAAGTAACCATACCATGCGGGAAAGACAAAGGATATTTGCTATACTGTTATTAAATGCCACCTGTATATGTTACAGTTGATTTGCAAAACTTATTAAATTATAAACAGCACTGACCCAGTTGCTTAGAAAAGCTGGATTCAGCAGTTTATGGTTAAGAAAGTTATTATGCATAGTAACAATACAGTCCACCGAATTTAAAGTGAATTTTAAAATGTAAACACTAATTGATGACTTAACATTTTTTAAAATTTAAATTCCCTTTATTAAGATCAAAAAAGCAGAACTATTTCATTAACTTAAAAATATTTTTAGGTCAATGAAAGTATTTTTGGTTGATATCTCTTTAAATTCATAATGACTAAGAGTCTAAGGCTGACCTCCAATTTGCAATGCTCCTGCCTCAACCTCTTAAGTAGCTGGAATCACCACAACTCCCAGTTCCCTGCTCTCCTTTTCAAGGTAGTTAAAGAAGTTACAGATCCAACAAAGGAAGCCACATTCCCATACTCCCAGCACTGCTCTTTCCTTTCCTAAGGTCTAGGGGAAAAGTCTATTGTCTTTCCATTCCATTCCAATGTCCCCAAGGAAGGAGGTAGTTATTTGTTTTAAGTTCTGAGTCAAACTTTCTCTTCAAATGGAGAAGTAACACCTGGTACTATGCAGTTCAATGGTGATGCAAAAGAATAGGCTGAGTTTGCATCATAATTCCTATTTTAGTTGGCTCAGATCTTGGCTGGTAGCGCCAGATTTTGCACAGTGAAATTTAGTGCCCAAGTATAAACTGAAGTCCTAGTTTTAAAAAATTCCCCCTGCAGGTGATCCTGCATCCCCAGCAGCCTGGTTCCACCTTGACACCTGGCAGCCAAGTGAGAGACATGTAATTGCAAAGGTGATGATTGCATATTTGATTTTCAAGATGCCTTTCTTTCTATCACTGAATACTAATTCTTTTCTTCTTTTCTTTCTGCTCTTTGTGCTCTCTCACTCACCAAGGCCTGAGGTCAGGGTGGTTTTGTTTTTTGTTTTTTGTTTTTTTTTTTCAATAGTGAAGAGACACTGAGACCATTATCCTGACAAAATTCAGCTAAGTTGTTTTTTTGTTTTTGTTTTTTTTAGTTGCTTTACAAAATGGACTATGCCTTCATCCAGAGTCTGGGTTTTCTTTGACATGATCTTGACCAAACAAAATAGGAGAGAACTCAATGTCATGCTCTGTCTACAATGGCCCTGATTAAAGAGAATGTAGACCTGGGATTGCAATTGCAAGGCTGACCTGCCAAACCTGGAGTGGAATTTTATGACTAGCACCACTATTTTCACTTCAGAATAATCCATAAGAAAGATGACCCAGTAATTAAAATGACAATTAACTTGGTCATCAGTTTAAACTTTTCAACCCAGGCCCCTGCCCTATATCTACACCCTTTAAAGAGGAAAGGGGGGTGGGGGAGCACAAAAGCCTCACAGAAGTTTCAATTGCCTATTTTAATGTTGGCAATTTATAACTGACAATTATGTTGTTAATTGATAGTTGTTTCAATGAGTTGTCATCCATGTAGATTGTTCAGATTAGCAATGTTGTTTCTGCATTGTGATTAAACCACTGGGTAGCTGCATAAAAAACTGTTGTATTCTATTATAGATACTCTCTAATATCTCAGAAGGGAAAAAAGGGCCAGCCCTCCTTAAAGATGCAGATGACTTTTTAAAAAGACTGGGAGTAACAAAGTCTTGTTGAAATACAATCTTTAGCAGAAGGTTCGATTAATGAAATGTAATGTTTAAAGAAATTTTTTTCTATGTAAATAACTTATTAATTAGGTGGGAGTGACAGCCTGCAGGTAGCAAGGCTACAAAACATGCCAAGGAAAATACTATTCCTACCCAGAATGACGCTAACAGAGACCCAGGTTTTCCCCTGGAACTCTCATGAACTTGGGACAGGTGGCTAACTACAGGATACACCTGGTTTCTTTTAGGGACTAGAGACCAGAGCAAGTAAAACCCCTAAAAAATTTTGGCATGAAGGAAAGAGTTGGAAAAAAAATCACAGTCCTTGTTCATATTACATCCTAAAATGCAAACAAAAGAACTATATATCAGGGGCTGGAGATGTGGCTCAGTGGTAGACTATTTGCCAATATGTGAGGTCCTGGGATTGATCCCTGGCACCAAAAAAAAAAAAAAAAACTTATTTAAAAATGTTCCCCTATGGGTTTTTTGTTTGACAGAGTCAGAGTCTTTTTTTTTTTATTCTGTGGGTTTAACCCAGGGGTGCTCAATTACTAAGCCACATCCCATCTTACCCCCCCCCCTTTTTTTTTTTATTAGAGAAAAGATCTCAATGAGTTGTTAAGTTGTTGAAACTGGATCGGGTTGAACTCAGGATCCTCCTGCCTCAGCCTCCCAAGCTGCTGGCATTACATGCAACCATGCCCAGCTGACAGGGTCTTGCTATGTTGTCCAGACTGGTCTCAAACTCCCGGGCTCAGCCCATCCTCCTGCCTCAGACTCTCAAACAGCTGGGACTACAGGTGTGTACCACTGCACCCCCGCCCCTTTTCTATGGCTTCCAAATCTTGAAAAAACAGATTGAAATTCTAACTTTTTCTACTATATGGAAACTTTAAGCTATAGTCATTTTATTAATAATGGGAAAAGATTACTTTGGACATCTTCCAGCAGCAACTTGGGAAGGCCCAACTGGCCCCTCCTCTCCCACAGGACAATGCTGGCCACAAGGTGGCAGCTACCCAAATCTTGGGTAGAGTGACCTGTTGGAACTAAACAGAGTCCAGAGGTCATGTCATAGAGTTTCAGAATGAAAGTGAATGTAAAGCAGTCAAGATATGGAACATCTTTTTATTTCCTCTTAAAT